TAATTATAAAAATTTTAATTTTAAATTGATAAAATAAATGAGGAGACGTTTGGTTCATGGATTAAAATTATGTGATTAGAATTATTTTTTATTTACGTGTATTTTTTATAAAAAAAAATACTATAACGAATCATAAATTATAATTCAAATTATGATTTGAATCTTCTAATTAAATATCTCTAAGAGTGCGTTTGGTTCAAGTATTCGTGTCATAGTTCGAATCATGATTTGTAATTCGTTACAGTATTTTTTTTATAAAAAACACACAGAAATTAAGAATAATTCTGAATCATAATTCTGAATCTATCAACTAAACGTCCTCTAAGTGATTCAAATTCCTTTCTTAAATTTCAGAAAGATAAGAGGCCGACCCAAAAGCAGTAATGGATGAATAAATGCACTTCGTGAATTGGGAAAATTGAAAATAACTCCTCCTTTAACTAACCCCATAACTGTGGGATCTTTGACCCAAAAAAAGTTGATATATATATATATATATATATTTCTCCTCTCTCTCTCTAGAGGGACAAATTTGGGACTGGAGTGGGGGGATCTGGATGATTCCTCAAGCAATAAGCATTCAGGAATCAGACTGTTTTGGGTTTTGGGCCCACCAATTGGGAAGGTGATGAATGATGATGATGATGATCAGCTCGAGTTTGGAGGAAGGGACACGTGGCGTGTTGGGAACTAGGCGTTTGGTTGGCGTGGAGTAGCCACTTGAAATTGGAACAACTTTTTAAGCCCATGCTCTGTGTCTGTTTGCTTGAGTGAAACGTTCCGGGAAAAACAAATCATCATTTGTGTGGCCTACTCATTCCGTTTAATTGGAGAATTCGTTCTCCAATTTAAATAATAATTTATAGTTATTTTTTTTTAAAAATACATAAATTAAAAATAATTTTAATTTTATTATTTTAATTTATGAATTAAACAGATTAAATTAGAGATTTAAAATTATGATTTAAAATCATTCTTAATTTATACGTGTTTTTTATAAAAAAAATACTGCAATAAATTATAAATTATGATTTAAATTATGACACAAATTTTTATATTAAACACTCTTCTATTTTCCGTTTAATCGCAGTCCACTGCAGCCTAAAACAAAATGCTCAGACTAGGATCTTTTAAGGGTGGGGATAGTATTCTCATCCTAATGCATGTTTTTGATATTAATAATTCGTTTATTTCGTATATTTAAACTCAAATTATTAATTTTATTATAGTGTAAAATTCTCATATAAAATTTAAATTTAAATGTTAAAATTAAAAATTATGAATTTGAGTTTACCTCCTTAACAAAATTTGAATAAAATAAATTCCACACTCAATACAATCCACTATTCGACATACAATGTAAATCGGACTACTTCTTTAAAGTATATTAAAAGATTCTCCCATAGTATTCCACCTTGTATAATATGTATCAGCTGATTTGAATCTAATGCGTTTGGTCAGTGAATTCGTGTCATGGTTCAAATCATAGTTCGTAACTCGTTACAGTATTTTTTTCACAAAAAATACACATAAATCGAGAATAATTTTGAATCATAATTCTAAATCTATAGACCAAACATTCACTTATATTGCGATCAATAATCCTATCAGACCGAACAGTAGGATGCTCCCACCGTAAAATCTCCCAAATACAGTGCGGGACAAAGAAGTCATAGTGGAACCTTTTTTTGTTTTTTTGGTAATTCAAAGTGGAACCAATTTTTCATCCTGAAAACATGTACATCTAAGCCTCGTTCATTTCACCGATTTGAGTTTTCAGTTTTAGGTTTCTACAGTAAAAAATTCTTAAAAAATATCACATATAATTTTTTCTACTACAGTGAAAAGCTTTCAGAAAATATCACATTTTAACTCAAATTGAAAACTCAAATCTGTGAAGTAAACAAGGCCCTATTTATTTTCGTTTTACATGATCGGTTAAAAAGGTCGGGATAAAATATGCACAAAAACACTCGGCAAATTGCAAGTACAAGTAACACGCTTCCTTGCGTCCCAAAAGAAAATCACATCACAACAAGTAGACAAGTGTGCTAGCATTGCCGCTTCTAGTCTTCACATTCTTAAAGTGGTACCAACAAACTCATCTGGGTTTTATCTGAAAAACTCTGTTGTACCAAATCGAATGAAGGGTCATGTGAAATAGATCGTACTTCATTGGTTTTGCATGCCAAAGAAAATGCTTCTGAGCTTTTCTTACAGCAAGTTGCATCTCGAGATACTTCTCCTTCGGTATTGAGAGTAGTATCTCTTTCAACTTTGGAATGTCTTTCTCCGCAAGAACTATTGAGAATGCTTCCCAATTCAAAACCTCGAAAAACGGAGGCACAAAATTGTCGGATATGATCACGGGAACGCATTCATAGAAGATGGATTCGACAACACGCGGGCTATTGACCTCGTACCCCTTGGGGCAGATACAGTATTTGCTGCTCTTCATGTGTTGGATGTAGTTCATTTTGTTTGCAACACCAGGAGGCATTGGACCAAAGATCTTCATGTCAGGGTCTTTATCCTTCCAGTACTTTAATAAGATTGGGCGCAAGTAGCCATGAATGTTTCCAGCGTAGAAGGCAAGAACGTGCCTCCGAGATGGAGGCTTCCCTCCAAGATCTCTAAGAGGATTCCTTGCGGACCGGACGTATGTTTCTGGAAAAGAGACATCCCTTCCAATTTTGAAGCCCGAGGTCACATCAGCATTGCAAAGGGCTTTCATGCAACGCTCCATGTGGTGCCTTGTTTCATATGGAGCCTGTAAGAATCCAACACTTTATGTCAAACTTCCATACAAAGGCATGATTGAGAAGCACATACACATGCAATAATTTCGTTACATTTTTCCCTTTTGGGGGTAAACCATGAAAACTCTAATGAACATAAATGTGTATTGATGTGGCCTGATAATCTATGATAAGAGTCTAATCAAAGCAAATCTTTAAATTATTAGACGTGAATATGAGAATATGGTTCATGACCATTTGAGGTAAATACAAGAGAAGAGAGATGCATGGATAACATACCCAGTCATGGCAAGCAACAAGAAAATGATCTGCTCCACCAGTCCTATTCCAGTAAGGATACTTTGCTGCTAATTTTTCTGAGTATTCCTTCAAATATTGGCGCAGGTTTGTCCGGTTATGGGAGTTGCGTACGTAGAGGACGTGTTCTAGCATGCGCGAGCTGAATGGCATGTAAAACAGATGAGCCCTGCGAGGGTCTTTGACAACGTAACGCCTATTTCTCTCCATCAATTTCATAAACCATCCCTCAGAAGCATATAATCCCTTCATTATTGGTTGATGGAAGATAGGTTTGTCCCCATCCTTGTAGACATAGACTTTGAGCGTGCGCTCCATGAGTTCGTAACTCCTGAAAAAACAAAATGAATCAAAGTTTTTTGAAATTGAAACAGCTTCCGCAAAAGATAGCATCACCAATTGTCTTTACTCATCCTCGCAATGTTTTTCACATTAACTAAAACTGAGAGTAACTTAACTTATTAGGCTAAATCTAATTCGACTTACCTTTTGAACATGGAAACATTTCGAAAGAGAGGAGCATAAAGTTCTTGATCATTCATCGCAAGGGGAGCGTTCTCAATCTGTGGCTTCATGGCTAGAATCTCCTTGTCTCGTACAGACGACCATCGTGGTCTCTACAACAAAACCGAGGATTTTAGAGGCCCTGCATTAACAAGCTAAAGTCTTAATTACTCGATCAATTCATTACCAGTGAACGTGATTTTGCGCGGTGCCTCACTAATATTTGGTTCATCTCCTGAAATGTTGTTATTGACTTTGGTGGCATGTTACACCTCATCTTCTTTACTCCTGGAGTAGTCGCAATTGCAGAATGGTTATTCGTAATAAGAAGGCCACTTTGCTCAGAAACGGAAGATGTTGAGGTTGTCGAAAATGAGGCATTGACCAAAGCATCTGCAGATGATGCAAGTGGAGAGGGTTGAAAAGGACTGTCTAAACCACCGTCAGACTTTTTCAACCTTAGATCTATGTTCTCCGTTCGAATATTTTCGGTAGACATTTCTATATTTGGTTCCACAGCAGTCTGATCAAGAGGAAAGCCCCGCCTATCTTTACTGGCTTTACTCAAAACAAAATCATTTTCCTCATTTTTCATGCTTATGAGCGCCAAACTTTCAGGTTTATCCGCAGAATTCAAAGTGTCATCAACATATCTATCCACAAGATCTTGAGAAGTCCTATGAAGGCCTTTTTCTTCGTCCAACGTAAAACCAAACTCCTCAAACCTGTCATCTCCCTCTCCTCCAGTATCACTCCCTAAATCTCCTCCATCATCAAGATCATCGGATGTAGATGTGTCGATCAATTCCGAAGCATTAACTGTAAGAGGGTTGCGAACCACCGCGTACTTGGTGGAAATACGAGCAGTTCGGGCGGCATAGTTAACATCTCTCGGATCATCTTTCTCGGGCAATAGAGAGCGAAGGGCCTTTCCATATGGAAGCAGGAGGGACTGAAACAACAAATGAGTAACAGCCACCAACAAAACCACTAAAACCCATCTCGCTCTAACCCGACCGAGCTTGTGAAACCGAAAATGACACTCCATATCTGTACTTTACAACCCAAATGATGCAGAAGTTACAATTCTAGGTCGCATCAACTTCAATTCCCTTCTCAGTTTCTGCATAAATTTCAGGAGCACTAAAAATTTAAAACCTCACTAGTTGCTACTTTTCAAGCCTATTTTTATAACTATAAAGCTCAAGATTAAGCAATTACAATGTCTAGATTCCTCCATTTTCTTTAGCAAAGAAAACCCATAATTTTTACATTTGAAACCCACGAGTATAAACTCTATAGCAGTAATATCGGGAACTATAAATTCTAAATATACAAGCTTTCAAATAGTTCTAGTAATGGGAAGCACAGCAGAGAAAAATATATCAAGCGCGTGCAGATACGCGCCTGAAAGTCACTTACATGATCAAGAACACAATCTACAAAGATGTTTTCGGAAATATCATTAAAAAAAAGGGGGGACATTTCAGTGCAAATTTGACTTACAACTGACAAAGCATTCTCAATCTTAGAACTTGAAGTGAGCTTTACGCTTGTGGAGAGAGTTTCATTGAAGTGTTGAGAAATGAGCTTCTGATTTTTTTTCGTTTTCTGGGCAGCCAAACAGAGAAACCCTTCAGTTACAGACGGTACAGCAAGCCGGCTTGCTTAAGTTAAGAAATTGAAGAGCAGTTAAAGCGTTAGAGTTTTCATCTTTTTCTTTGCTGACACACTGTTTTAAGAGGGCCATTATTGATCGTGAAACGTCTTTAACAGTTAAAACCTTTGTCTTTTCTCCTCAATTTTTTCATAATTACTAAAGAAAAATTTTCATAAGTACCCTTGAAGTATTTATTCTATTTTAAAGTGCTCTTAATTTTTTAAATCGTTCAAAATACTCTCCGATCTATACCCTCTATTAGATTCTGTTTACTATCTTAACAAATTTACTGACGTGGCAGGTAAAAAATCAGTTAAAACCATTAAACTATAATTAAATATATAATTGATTATATAATAAAAACAATTAAAAGCTTATTTCAAAAACATAACAAAAAAGGCTTCTTCTTCATCTTATACTTACAGACATTTCACTATCTCTTTTGTAAAAATATAACAAAAAATACTGTAGCGAATCACGAATTATAATTCGAATCAGAGAACGAATCTTCTAACCAAACGGGACGTTTCCTCTTTCTTTTCTTTCCGATTGCAAAGAATGCTCTTGCTCAACATAAAAGCTCTCTCTCTCTCTCTCATGAACCACGAGGACCACAAGATTCTCTTCTTTTTTGGTAGATTTTGGACATGGGCTTAGCTGCTGAAATGGTGCTAGTGATGCCATCGAAGGTGTTCGCATCGATGAAATTGGATCTCCTTAAAATCCTTCTCGGAGTCCTTAAAACACAAGGCTCCGCCACTGCTCGAGGCAGGCAGCAATTACGTGTGTATTTGGAACCGTTTTTAAAAATAATTTTTACGGATTTTGATAAGCAAAAAATAAAAATGAAAATACAACGATATTTGTTTAGTAAATATTTTAAAAACGAAAACAATGTAAATAATTTTTGTAAAGGAATTAGAAAACAGTTTAAGGTTATTTTTATTTTTCTGTTTTTATTTTTTAATACTTATCAATAATATTATAATATATTAATTAATAAACACAATTTCACTTTTTTATTATACTCAAAATAATCTCTTAAAAAACCAACTAAATGCAATTTCAGAATCAGTTATAGAATGATTCTCAAAACAATCTCATTTTTACTTTTTATTTAAAACAAAATCATTTTAAAACCAATTCCAATTGCACCCTACAAATCGCAAATCCTCCTCGGCGTCCTCTATGGCCCCGTCATGAACTACCTTCCCGTGATTTGGCCTACCCCACAAGCCCCTAAGTCCACGAGCCCCTTGTCACCAGAGTTATGTTGAGCCAAATTTGAGTGCGTTACTGACAACAACGGCCTCTAGAGGGTGAGTTTCTGTAACAGGTTCGGTGAGAGGCAGAAGAGGAAGAAACTAGAGGGGAATGGGTGAGAGAAAACGATAGACTTTTTTTAAATAAATTTTTTATTGTTATTTTTTAACATTTAATCAGTTTGATATTTAGTTAGAATATAATGGCTTTAACTAATATTTATTTCCTGCCACATCACCAAAATCTGTTATAAATATAGACAGAATTACATGGAGAGGGTATTTTGAATCATATTCTATAGATCGGGGGTATTTTAAACCATTTTAAAATATCAATGGGCACTTTGAAACATAGTACATACTTTAGGGGACATTTATGAAAATAATCCTCTTTTAAACTCTTTTTCTCCCGACACTTTAACTAGAGGCTAAATTTAAACAACATATTTTTTTAAAAGATAAATAGCAGATTTTTAAAACTAAATAAGTAAATAATAAATTTTAAAATTATTTAAAGTAAATAGCATTTTATTTAATAAATATTTCATTTACGATTAGTAAAAATTAATCTACATGGTAAAAGTCTTTATTTACGTAGAAAAATCTTTTTATTAGTCGTAAAAAGAAATTTACATGAAAGAAAAAATCTCTTTACTAGTCGTGAATGAAATATTTACGCGATAAAATGTTATTTACTTTAAATAACTTTAAAATATGTTATTTACTTAATTTAGTTTTAATTTTAAATATATTATTTACTTAATTTAATTTTATAAATCTACTATTTACTATATTATTCTGTTTTATAAGTTAAAACCGCCATAATTTTTATTCAAACAGTATTTTCTCTTATAACAAGTTTAAATTAAACTGCTACAATGTTTTTTAAACTCTAATTCAGAGCCCCATTTTAAACCCATCTTCCAAATGGACACTTAATAAATTTTCAAAAACAACAATTAGTTTGATCATAAAAAGAAAAAAAAAACTTTGGGATTTATCAATTTACGTGAGTGCCTCTGCTCCCCATTTCATTGTCCTTTACATCTTTTCTGAAAAACCCAAAAGGAATAATCAAACAATGTCTGAATTTTTTTCCTTAAGAGAGAAGATTAACAAAAAAATTTTGTTCTGTTTTTTTGTTTTTTGTTTTTGAAAAAGATAGAGGATTACTAGAATTTTAAATAGGAAAAGAAACAGAATTTAGAAAGAATTGTGTCCCAGGGAAAAACGTACCCTTTGGCATTCAACAATTAACATTTCATTTGACTTTTTTTTTTTTTTTTTTTTCTATTTTCTATTTCCTCTGTTTTCTTTCACTTACGAAAATAAATCCAGAAGCTTTGGTTGGGGGTTCAAGATATAATATTTCAACTATTTTTGTAGGCACGATCTTTTGTTTTTAATAGCTTATGGGCATTGCATAATTTTTAAGTATGCTTTTGAATTTTAGCGAAGTACTTAGTTTCCAAAAATAAAAAATAAATAATAAATAAATAAATACTAGCAAGTGGCTATCTCCAAATTCCAAAAGTCTAGCCTACCCTTTTCTTGTCTTGCTCTCAATAACTTTATTTAGCCAAAGATTTTTAGGTCTAAGATGTCAATTAAGATATCGGATTAAATATACATTTACAAAGGGTCCCATAATTATTACCTTAAAAAAAGGGTAACCCGTCAACTATCCAGCTGCATCTTTTTTGTAAGATATTAGCTAACATAACCACTTTTACTAAATAAAATAAATAACTTCTTTTACGAAACATCCCCACCAATATGAAGTATTTATATGATTTGTATATCTATACGACCCCGGGAGGAGACCGCAATAATTATAAGTAAATTATTGTAACAAGAACTATCCAAATAAATATAAAATTACAAAACATCAGCTGGAATGAAAGAAAATGACAAAACGATCCAATATTTGAGCTCTTTTTTTTTTTTTTTTTTTGGACGATGTTTGAGCCGTTATAATTAACCATGTTGAGGGTGAAAATAAAATAAAAATAAAAATTTGAGGATGAAACAACTAAAAAATATCATGAATCATGGATGAGTCTTCAGAGAAGCAAGTTCTCTTGTAGGGATTATGAGTCCATCACTTTTATGGGAAAAACTACTAGCTAAATCAATTTCCAAATCTGGATTTCACACCATTTTTTTTTCTTTTCTTGGGTAGAAAGCTACAATGCCATTGTTTTTCTGGTGCATATCTTATAGTTCACCCATTTTATGACTCATGCAAAAATGACCAAAGAGCAAAGTCCTAGGTTCAGTAGGATCAATACCCTTCTTGGCTCACACCATTTACGTGCATGCCAAAATGTTGAAATACAGCGCCAACCAGAAGTGCATTCAGAACCCGGCTTTGTTTCAATTACAAATGGCATTGAAACATCAGCAGAATTGGTTTGACCCCTATGCTTTCGGATTTTTACACCAGCTGCGCAGCTCGCAATCGCATGTCGTATTTTCCATTGAAAGAACCTCAAGCTCTAGCGTCTTCATTAAGTTTTCACTTGAAGAAGTTTGTTGTTCCAAACTGAGTGAAGTATCATGTGAAATAAGTCATATTTCACAGGCTCTTTGTGCCAAAAGAAATGCTTTTGGACCATCCTAACTCCTAACTGCAATCCCTCATACTTCTCCTTAGGTATTGAGAGCAGAATATTCCTCAAATTATGAATATCTTTCTCTTGAACAAAGACCGAAAATGCCTCCCAGTTGAGCACCTCAAAGAGAGGAGGCACATAGTTATCTGATATAATGACCGGCACACACTCGTAAAAGATGGCCTCAACAACTCTAGGGGTGTGAACCTCATAACCTTTGGCACATATGCAATACTTGCTGCTCTTCATGTACTCCCTGTACGTCCTTTTGCCTTCGATATCACGGGGCATCGGGCCAAAGATTTTCATGTCTGACTCTTTGTTCTCCCAGTAGTGCAGCAGAATTGGTCGGAGATAGCCGTGCATTCCCCCTGCAAAGAAGGCCAAGATAGATCTTTCCGAAGCAGGTTTCCCTCCAACGTCTTTCAGAGGGTCTTCTGATGAGCGCACATAAGTAACAGGTAGACTAGTGTCCTTGCCAATTACAAAGCCTCTACCAACATTGGCATTGCAAAGAGCCCGTATGCAATTCTTCATACTCGTCCTTGTAATGAAGGAGGCCTGAAATATACACAAATATACACATTAGTTTGGCCTCCTTATTTTCACAAGATATGCAAACTAGTCACCCGTTTGGTTCATAGGTTTGAACAGAGTTTAAATAGAAATTCAAATTTGTTGAAATTTTTGTGAGAGTTGAATGGTGCGAGGGAAGCATTACCCAGTCGTGACAAGCAACAAGAAAGTGATCTGCTCCTTCTGTTCTGTTCCAAAAACGATATTTTCTAGAGATCAATCCCACATAGCTCTTTAGATATTTCTCAAAGTCCTTCTTTCCCTTGGAATTTTCAAATGTTGTCCTCAGCAGTTTTGAGCTGAAGGGCAAATAGAATAAATGAGCCTTCCTAGGATCCCGGACGACAAATTTTTTATTTGCCTCCATCAGTTTCATAAACCAACCTTCTGAGGCATAAATTCCCCTCATGTAAGGCTGATGGAATACAGGCTTTTCTCCTTCCCTGTAGATATAAACTTTGAGCATCCGTTCCATCAATTCATAACTCCTGCAATATCATATGCAGTAGCTTTAGCTTAATGAATGAATGTCAGGAACAAGTTCCCGAAAAGAAGACTAGAAACGATTATCCAACAAGAACAAAATGGTATATCTCTAGCTCATATGCAGGTGAGGATGAAGTAGCTGCCAAAGCCAAGACATTCTTGTCAGTGAGTTAATATCACTATAACCCATATAACAGGAAAACATTAGGAATTGAAAGCCCTAATTCCTACTACGTGAGAGCAATTAGAAAATGGAGAGCAATGAGAAAACGAGTAGAATCACGAAAATAAAATAACGCACATGTACAAGATTTATAGTGGTCTACGTTCACTTGCCACTGCATAAATTCACTATAATCAGAGGAAGAAATACAAGGTATAATCAAAATTCAAAAGCATTACAGCAGATCAAAGGTTGTTATACAAAGCAAGTACAATACTCATATGCTAGAATTTTCTTCGGCAGTCAAACTTTTAGCTCTTGACAAAACAATCTTCCAAAAAATCTACTAACTGACAGTTATATACTAGCAGACGCTGATCCTTCTTACCTTTTAAATTTGGAAACGTTTCGGAAAACAAAAGCACTAAGCTCTGGACTGTTTCTTATTATAGGAGCATTCTCAATCTCCAGCTTAGCAGATAGGAGTTCACGGTCACGAACAGAAGACCATCTAGGCCTCTACTGCCAATAAAATTATCAAGTGAGAAACTATAACAGTTTTGGTCATGCTCTATCATTCACATTCAAACCTCAAAACTTGTATCCGTACCGTCGAATGAGTAGAAAGAGGGCTCCGAAGCAGCAGCGTGTTCATTTGAGATATTGTTGTTGGTTTCTTGTCCCACCTCTTTGGCATGAGCGTACTGGCTATTGTTGAGTCCTCAGAATTCGGTATTACCAACTCGGTCTTCCCCTCCTTGGGTTGTGTTTTCATAGTTTGCTCGACATTTTTCTCCAAACCGCCTACACTCAAGTTTCTTATGCCCTCTACAAAGATTCCTGACACACTACCAACTCGTTTCCTATCTTCGCTAGAATTTGTTCTTGGATTTGTTGTAAAGGAGGTGTCTTTCTCATATTTCTCATCCATTCTATTGCCCAGAGTAGAAACATTTCCTCTAACTATATCAGATTCGATTTCAAATCTAACATCGAGGTCTATAATACCCTTCTTTAACACAAACTTCTTGTTTGAATTGTTGTCAACTTCTGGTGCTAATTCATACTCAGTGTCCTCATCATCCACTATTTCATTTTCATATCCGATTTCACCTTCCGAATTCAAAGCATCGGAAGAATTAGCCACCACTTGAACACCGAAAACTTTATTACTTTGTTTTGAATTATTTGAACTACCAGCATTGGCAATCATCATAGTAGTTGAATCCTTACTAGCAGATAGAAAGTAAAACGTTTTCCCATATGGAAAAGTTAAAGCAAAGCACTGAGAAACAATTATAGTAGCAACTAATGTACCAATAATTAACAGAAGTCTCCGAAATTCAACACGAAATAACATCTGGGCTAGAGCAGTGATATCCATAATCATAATATTTGTAGCACTCGACTAGAGATTTCAATAATGACCCACAAATGTTGCTGTATTTCCCTTCTAAAAACACACAGACAACTATTAGAACTATATTATTGAAACCAGAATATGCAACAAAACTAGATCAACCCCAGAAGGGAAAAAAGAGATTTGAACTTACACGGTCTACAATTCCGTTTAAAGAGGAGAAAAAATACCGGAAATATTCTCCATTGACAATAAGGGGAACCAAAAGAAAGTGACGAGCTCAGACATACCCAAAAGGTTAGTGAGTATTGTTGAAGTAATTCCATCCAGGTATAAACATCACATTGAATAAGAAACAACACCCTCAAGGCATAAACGACAAGTAGTTTTGTTGAAGTTCTCAACCACATAGAGTAAAACGCAAAGTTTTACTTGCTGAGTCATCATATTGCAACAAAGACATATGGCCAAGATTAATTGGTGCACCGATTTTAGATGTGAGAAAACTTTTTACTGTATTAAAATTTGAATTTTAAACTCAAATCGGTGAAATGAACGGGATTATCTTCTTAAAAATTACAGAGTTAGAGAGAGACTAAGCGGACGTTTAGTTTATGAATTTAGAATTATAATTCAGAATTATGATTCAAAATTATAATTCAGAATTATTCTCGTTTTACGTGTTTTTTTGTGTGAAAAAATATTATAGTGAATCACGAATTATAATTCGAATCATGATACGAATATACCAACTAAACGAATACTAAAAGATTGTAGTGAGAGAAACAATTTATTCTCAAGAGAGATTGAGGAGAATTTTCGGTGTTCTGAGGATTGAGAGAATCTGAGACATCGTTTACTTTACGGATTCGAGTTTTCAATTCGAACTGAGATGTGACATTTTCTGATAGCTTTTTACTGTAGCAAAAAAAGTTAAATGTGATATTTTTTTAGAGCTTTTTACTGTAGAAATTTAAAATTAAAAATTCGAATCGGTAAAACAAAACGAGAGCTGAGTATGTTGAGATTTACCTACTGAGTATTCTTTTTGGGAAACACTGAGGTTTGTCTTTATAATTGTTTTTAAGATTGGATCGAGAACGTATGATAATTTTTTTTATCCGAACCTTGATAAAATTTTTGTGTTCTTAATTTGAGTTTGTTCAAATATAAATCTTGTGTTAGAATCACTCTAACAAGTATAGGGTGGTGAGAAGACATAGGAAAGTGTTAGCTCCAGTTCCACTGTTCCAGTGACAGACAAGATGAATTCACAGATTCACTTGTGCAAAAGTCGTCATTGCTGTATTCCTCATATGCCCTTTCTATTTGACTATATTACAAGGAAGCCACTGGTAAAATGGAACTATAGAGTAGGACGAATTAATTTTTATTTTATAATTCGGAATACAATTATTTTTTGAAATGGTCTTTAATCAAGCACCTATAAAAATGTGTCTACTGATCCGGCTGTAAATATAAGCAGTCAGATCATTTATTAACAATTAATAAGCATTGAAGGGCAGCTATAATTTAAAGAACGTGATCTGATTATTTACATTCTGTTTATTTTATTAATTTGAGTTTAAAATTTAAGTTTTATTATAGTAACATTTTTTTAAAAATAATCATATTTAATTTTTTTATTATAATAAAAAATTTTCATATAAAGTCACATCTTAACTTAAATCAGTGAACTAAACAGATTCTTAAGCTAGTAAATTGCTAGAAGAAGAAATAATTGAAAAGGGATCTAGTTTGTTTTAAGAGAATAGATAGCCTGACGTTTATATCCACACTTGTTGCAATAGTCGCTGGCATACTCTTCTCTAGTTCTTTTTTTTTTTTTTTTTTTTTTCCAAAATGAATTGAGCTTGTAATGGAGCTTAGTTATAATATTTATGTTTAGAGGTCAAAATTTATGAATTTATATAGTAGTATAGTTGCTTTTTGATTTTATAAATATTTGCTATTTAAATAAGAGTACTTAAAAATGATCAAACTTTGGGTATAATTACACTTTTTTAAGAAATCATATAAATATTGTCACTTGTGTGAACATGTTTTTTAATTTCAAAATGTACATATTGTACCCCTAAATTATGTTACATCTCTAACTTTTCCCATTCCGTCATTTTTCGCTAATATTTTGGATGATAACTTCTATAAAGTTCTTTCAAATTATTTCGCTTGTGTCAACATAGCCCTTAAATTTTAAAATGTATGTGTTCCGCTTTCTTCCTCCCTTGAACTATGATACATCTCCAGATTCTCCCCCTCAACTTTGAAACATGTTGTTCATGTTGTTTTTTGAATGGAATTGTACATTTATCACTTGGTTTAAGTTAAGGCGCAACATTAAGTGTAAATAAATATGAAAAAAATGGAAATCGTATTTGGAAATCTATTTTAGGTTAGTTAAGAGTTTAATGAAATTAAAAAAAAAAAATTGGACTTCTCACGTGTGCGGCACTTATCAATATGTCTATAAAAATTAATAAAAAGCTGAAATAAAAAATCTAGTGACGATTTTTTTCCTAAAAATATAGTTCATGCATGTGAGGAGGCCAAACTAACAAAAATGATTATAGACTCACAAATATTTAAACTCAAAAATACTTGATTTGTCGGTAAATAACCTCCTCATCAGTCATTCTCAGCCTTTGTGGGTCAGATCGTGGTTGCCAAAAATTGGAACATATATGTTAAGACAATACCCAGCACCAAGACAAATAATTTATCCACCTTATTAGTGAAACACACAATTTAGACGACAATCTAAACTTATAATTTAATCAGTACATCTTACATATGTGGTAAGACCTATCTGATTGTAAGTCAATTTTCAAGTGAGTTGTGAGTGTGTGTGTTTTATTCTTTTTTGATAAAAATTGAGTTGTGTTTGTTGTTCCATTTGCTTCTTTATTTCTTTGTTCTTTCCTCTTAGAAAATTAAGCTTCACAAAATAACCAAGTAGAGGTGTTAAAAAAAAACTGCTCAATTCAAATTAAACTGAAACAAATCGTTAATTATTTTTTTAATTATTTGACATATTAGTCGGTCTTTTAATATATGTTTTTTGTGTGGTTTGGTTTGTGATATGAAATCCTAAAACCTCCTAAACAGCTCAATAATCCACCCAAAGGTATACATATGTTTTTTTTTTGTTTTTTTTAATATTTTTTTTATCTATTTTGGTTTTTATTAATCATAATAAAAGTTCCACTTATAAAATACACCCTATCATATTTTTGTTGGTTTATATTAAAACTTTAAATAGTGAATTTTTAGACATTTATATTTTTGAGTTATATTATAAATTTGAATCTTATCTTATTTTTATGGATTAACTATTTTATAATATTTGTGAATTATAAAAAATTATTTTAGTTTTAACCTCAAACTGCGCAAACCGCTTATGAGTGGAGGACGTTTGGTTTGAGGATTCAAACCATGTGATTCGAACTATTTTCGATTTATGTGAATTTTTTGTGAGAAAAAATACTGTAGAAAATCATGAATCATGATTCGAATCAGAAAATGAATCTCTCTACCAAACATTTAGTTTAATTTGGCTTTTGTCAAAGTTATCAAACCGTCTAAAAGAAAAAATTATTTTTAATTTAATTAGTGGTTTTTTTTTATAAAAAAAAAAAAAAAAAAAAAACCGTTAACCGTGAACACCACTGTAACCAAGAATGAAAACAAAAACGAAGACCTGCAATTGTAAAGACAAAGGCTCCGTTATTTCGCTATTTCGATTTAGAATTTGAGTTTTACTACAGTAAAAAGCTCTCATAAACAATCACATCTAATTTTATTGTTACAGTAAAAAGTTCTCATATAAAATCACATTTCAACTCAAATTAAAAACTCAAATCAACGAACTAAACGGGTTATAAGACACCAAAATCTACAACTATGTGAGTATCTCTCTGTACATAAAGGAGCCAATGTTCTCTTCTCTCATGTTGCCACGTAACGACATGTGAGAAGAGAGCCTTTGGCTCTTTTTATTACTCATTTTTTCTTTATTTTTTTATTTTTTATTTTTATTTAGCATTCTTTTTGTAGTTTTCTGTTTTAGAACTTTCTTTAGTCAGACGTCTTTTTCGGGTCATTTCTAAACGTTAATATTGTCAAAATAAAAAAAATCTTTTTAATACTCATTTTTTATTTCTTTTATCTTTTTTTTTTTCAAATTGAGCGCCCACACGCAATTAGGAAATCTAAAAGCTGAATTTAATATAATTTTTGTTTATTTTTTAAATACCAACCAAACTATTATTTTTTTCCTTTTGGAATTCTCTTTTTTTTATTAAAAAAATGTGTTCTTAATTTATTTTTAAACAAAAAAGATCAACAAAAGGACTTTTTTTTTTGGTTCCAAAACGGATCCAAATTATGGAATGATATTTTCTCAGATAACGTGTTCCCAATAAAAATTCTCGACAACAAAGACACTAATATAATAAAAGTGTTAGATTGTAAGGTACAAAATAGTTGGCCTGTTTATTACCGTTTTTGTTTTCATTTTTCACATTTTTTGAAATAAAAAATTGAAAACAGAAATGAAAAACGCGTTTGGCAAAGTTTGTGTTAGAAAACAAAAACAAAAACGTTTTTGTCTTTTTGTGAAAAACTGAAAACGAAAAAAATACGTTCTCATTTTCACGTTTTCGTTTTCTGAAAACGGATTTCAGTTTTTTTTTTCTTCTCTCTCTTCTCCAGCCGAAGAAGACGCCGGAGAACGCCCACCGTCGCTCATCCAGCCGGTGTCAGCACCCCCCCCATTTTCAGAAATGATTGTTTTTAAAAATTAAACTACCAAACACAATTTTAATTTTTTTAAAATTAAAAATAATCTCAGAATAAAATTACCAAACGCATTTTCAGAAATAATTTCAAAATGAAAATAAAAACGTTTTTATTTTCATTTTCATACAAAAAATAAAAACGTTTTGGAATCAATTTCAAACGCACCCAGTAGTTCTCACTAGTACTACTCAAATTTGTTCAAGAATCAATTTTGGATAACGTATTAGTGAGTTTTTATTAATTTTGGATAACGTCTAAGTTTTTTTTAAAAAAAATATTTATAACAGTATTAGTGTGTGATTAGGATTGTATATTGTTTTAACATGTATTTAAACGATGTGTGTACTAAATTTGACTTTTTAGAGTATCGAAAATAAAAATCCATGATCATGTCACAAACTATCTGCGTAGTATATACACTGGGATCGAAAAAAGCTACATTTGGACATCAACAATGATACCGTTCATATCACTCATTTAAATTTTTAATTCAAATTGAGATGTAATTTTATATGAGAGATTTTTATTGTAATAAAAAAATTAAATGTGATTAATTTTAAAATTTTTTTACTGTAATAAAACTTAAATCAGTGAAATGAACAGACCGCACATTGTCGCAGCAGCATTCTCCCTCTTTAATTATTTAATTCGATGCATCTTAAAATATTAGGGCAAATTTACCATTACGTCCCCATCAACATTATAATATTAACCAGATATAAAAAGGAATTAGCTCTCCATGCTCACCCCTTACTGACATGTGTCCCTAGGAGCTGAAGACCTACTAGTAGCATAGAACTCAATTGCACAGCTTTTTAACTCCACATTAGTGCCTGATGAGTCCGTTTGCTGGACACAAGACCTTGCCTTATTTTTTTTTATCATCTACAAATGCATTTGTATTGGTTGTTTCATTAATATGCATCGTCTAGATTTTAAAAGCAGTAAATTTAAATTTTTTTTATAGATTTCCCCAATTTCGTAATTAACTTGGCTTTAACTACTAAGTGGTGCTAATGTTCCTTAAATTAGGGTAAATTAGGAAAATATCACTTTTATGATAGTGTCATTCAATTCTAAATGTTTAGTTGAAGGGAAAGATAGAAGGATGGAGAGGGGTAGAGAGAGAGAGTTAACACTTGTTTGGTTGGAGGGAGATGAGGAGGGAGAGGAGAGGAGGAGCAATGTGTTCTCCCTTATGACTCACCAAATTAGATCATTCCATTAATAAAATGATTCAAGCAATCCATCAAGTTAAATATTAGAAATAATCTTTTAAATAACTATAATTTATTCTTTCAACTCTTCCTTCATCATACCAAACAACATAAAGGATTTATAATTCTCTACATCTTTCCTACTGGGGCCCGGTAGATTTGATGGGTACGACATGTACAAGGTATACACGTGCAAGTATTAGATTCAGTGGTGTCGATGCTGACACGGATGAAATATGCGGCGTCCACAAAAGAGCTTATACGGTATGACCTCCAACGAAGAAGAGGGGATCAGTTAGGCCTAAAGTAAGCCAAAGAAAATAGATCCTAGGGCCCACTTTGTCGCCACCTTACCAAGTCACCAACTTACGCACATGGGAAGACTTCAGATACAGTCATGGAGATCGCGTGGACGATGTATGGTGGGAGGAGTAACCGAACAGTGATAAAGATTTGACTCAAAGAGTGTGGATAAGGCTTATTTAGAGAAGTGCTCCAAAGTGCAGGTTGCCTCCAGAGCGGATGTATGATTCGATTGGTATGGATAAGGCTATTTGGAAGAGCTAGTGAATTCTCACTTTGGAGGAACACAGGTCGCTCTGTGAGCAAGTTTTACAGACTTCCAATAGAGGAGGCAAACTTACTTCAGAGGAACACAGGTTGCTCTGAGAGAAGATGTCAGCAGATCAAGTTTTACGACTTTCTAGAAGTGTGCTTCGGAGCGGCAGAATCCAGCCACAGAGACGAATTTTTGAACTCCCGGAGAAACCTCAAGAAATTCGAATGTAGCTTGTAGATGAGTTTGGATGGATCAAATAAAGTGTTTTGAGACTTTTTGATGATGAACACTCAAGATTTAAGCATAGTTTCAGAACTCATTCGAAGATCTTCGAGCCTGAAGAGCACAAGCTTGAAGAACATGAGTCTTTAGCACAAAAGACTTGAACTCTCAAAAGAGAATCACTTAGAGTTTTGGCTAAGGTAGAAACCTTCTCAGGTGGTTAAGTATATGAATGATATGAGTCTTGTTATGAAGTGCTGGTGAAAAGGGGTATTTATAGGAGGAGATTGGGAGATTTTAGCGGTAGCTTCTGAGCTGTATAATCATGCATTGCCAGAGGCTTGTACGAACAATTTCTCTCCGGAAAGCCTGCATCAGGTGGCTTTCCTCTTTGACAAACAAATTGGTAAAAAATGGGCGTATTTAGAGACCAAGTCCAGAATTCTCGTTGACATTGGACCTTCCCCAGGTATGGAGGTCATGAAGTGTTTGACTAAGTCTGGTGCTCTGTGGACGCTTATATTCTTGGAGGTATGAACGCACGTTAGGCTAGCTCCAGAGCGCCGCCTTCCATTTTTTGCTAAACAACTATCGCTGGAGCACCTGACACATTCAACCTCCATGGAGCACAGAAATAACCTTCAAAACACAGAAGTGCCTCTCAGAGCATGAGAGGTATCTTCGGTCATAGAGGAGTCTCTTAGAGTATGGGAAGTATCTCCATGGTGGAGTCCACATTTACGTCTTCGAAACTGGCACAAAGACGAACTTTAGCTGGCTCCGGAGTAAAAATGCTCATTGGCTCACGCTGGAGGGGAAGGGATTATAACTTAAATTCCGGGCATTTGAGTCTCCAAAGGCAAAGGAAAGGACTTTTGGGACCCCTAAAGGACGAGGTAAATGACTTATAAGGTTAAGTTCTCCATCGCTGACTTATTCCTTTGCCCGATTATTTTAAAACCCCTAAGCGAGACTTAAAATTGAATCAGACTAAGAAACAAATCGGCCCATTCAATTATCCATGGCCCACCTGAGTTTCCCAAGCGTGGCTTGGGTCCACGAAACGAGCCCTGTCATGTGATAGAATTATTGAATTTGAACCCTTGTATGGACCTTATGCAAAAATGATTATCAACACTACAATCCGTCCCTTCAACTTTCTTATTTCTTTCTACTCTCCATTTCTCCAATTAAATGGACCCTAAAGTTTGAAACAAATCACTTACAATAAGTAAAAAGACATTTATCTCAGACAAAGAGTACGGTCAATTAGTGATTAATTGATTAATTCTAGTTTAATAAACTAGAGAGTTAAGAATTCAGATATAAATAAAGAATAAAATAGACTTCTTACGACTTCATAGAGATATAAACCAAACGAAATGAAATAAAGTAATAAAATCAAATAACCACCTCGCAGAATATATAGTCAAATTAACTGGTTAATTTAAAAATAAAAAAAAAAAACCAAAAAATGTCTTTAGTTGTGCTAATGGCAAAAAGCCCACGCCGATGACACCGAACCATCGACCACAAAAACCCCTCCATAAAATCTCAAAACTCCCATCGGAAAACACGCAAAGCTCTCTGCTCTCCCTTATCCGCTCCGACGTCGTTTCACCCGCGTTGCGTTGCCCTACGCACCCAAACAGCAACTCTCCTCTCCAAATGCCTCTCCCCTGAGCTTCTCTCTCTCAGTTCCTTCAATTCCCAAAAATGGCGCTAAAACTACCCATTCCATTCCCCATTTTCGCGCCACACCTGAACCCCTCTCCGCCCCAGTACCACCGCCTTCCGACCGAGCTCCGCTTCTCCCGCTGGAACAACGCCAACGCTGAAAAGTTCAACGAGCGCCGCCGAACCTTACAGCAAATCGAGGACGACATCCGCCGACAGCGCCGCTTCGATTCCGCCACCAGAATTTCCGACATCCCCGACTCCGCCAGTCCCTCCACCGCCGGCTCCGCCACCGGCGAGTTCTTCAAGTCCATCGGCACACCTTCTTCCCCTTCCAGGCCCTCAATTCCCGGTAAGAAATCTAAGTACTCCAAAAACCCTAACCCCAGCTTCGATTCGCGCTCTCATCCGGCTTTTCGCCCTTTGCGCCGGGTCCGAAAAATCGCGGTGAAGGAACTCTCTGGTCTTCCGAAGGATAAGCGCGATGTAGAGCGGAAGGCCGACGTTCGCGTGGGTGAGGACGGGGTTTCCTACGTGATCGATGGAGCTCCCTTCGAGTTTAAGTACAGCTACACGGAGACGCCGAAGGCGCAGCCGGTTAAGCTCCGGGAGGCGCCGTACGCGCCGTTTGGGCCGACGACAATGCCGAGGCCGTGGACCGGGCGGGCGCCGTTGCCGCCGAGCAAGAAGAAGCTGAAGGAGTTCGATTCGTTTCGGCTTTCGCCGCCGCATAAGAAGGGCGTCAAGCCGGTGCAGGCGCCGGGGCCGTTCTTGCCGGGCTCGGGGCCGAAGTACGTGATGTCAAGAGAGGAGATTTTGGGGGAGCCCTTGACGGAGGAGGAGATTAAGGATTTGATTGAAGGATGTAGAAAAACCAAGAGGCAAATGAACATGGGTATGAAGTTGAATTAGTTATTGATTATTTTATATTTGAATGTGAAGTCAAAAATTGATATCTTGGAATTAAAAAATAATTTGTTTGGTTTTCGAGAAAAGTGAGAGCAAAGGTATCCGTGGTTTGTTATTGTTTTATGTATCATTGTTGTTTCTTGAGCAATGAAGAACCTAAATGCAATAAAACTAAGCTCAATGGTTATATTAGAAGTAGTCTGAGTTATGTTCTTGTTTAGGTTATGGGATTATAACTAGTTTGAACTTTGAATTTTGGAAATTTGTTTTCTTGTTTAGGTTGTAATTAATGATAAAGGTTTTGGTCTCTTGGCATTTTCAAATTTTTTTTTTTTTTTTTTTTTTATCAGGTAGAGATGGTTTGACGCATAACATGTTGGATAATATACATGCTCATTGGAAGCGGCGGAGAGTTTGTAAGATCAAATGCAAAGGAGTGTGTACAGTCGACATGGACAACGTTAAAGAGCAGTTAGAGGTTGGTTCCTTTTGCCATTACTCATCTGAAGCCGCTATTTCCTTTTTATGCGTGATTAGTTATATTCGGCAAAAATACCATTTTGCTTAAAAGAGTTATTAGTGTTTCGTTGCTTATTCTGACGTTGTTTACTTTATTTCAATTCATTTATTGGGGCCTTTCTTGTCCAATTCTTTTATCTTTCTAGTATTGTCCGGTGTTGGAACGTTATAATACTTACTAATCGTGGGAAGAGAAAGAACTGGATAAAGATTTGTTGTAATGCAACACGAATGGGTTTGCATATTTAGTAGCTTTTATGTTGATAGTTCGTTGTTATTAATATTTAATATTTTACAGGAAAGAACTGGAGGAAAGATTATATATGGTAAAGGGGGTGTCATATTTCTTTTCCGAGGAAGAAACTATAACTATAGAACTCGGCCACGCTTTCCTCTCATGCTTTGGAAACCCGTTACACCTGTATATCCTAGGCTGGTTAAACGGGTCCCTGAGGGTCTGACACTTGAAGAAGCAAAGGAAATGCGCAAGAAGGGGCATAAACTAATGCCAATATGCAAGCTAGGTACCCTGTTCATTCATAATTTGCTATCTTAAACTTATCTTGATTCTAAAGGCGGTAACAGAAAACTTATGATGTCACTGCTTCTTGACATAGGGAAAAATGGAGTATACCATAACCTGGTAAAACATGTCAGAGAAGCATTTGAAGAGTGTGAACTAGTACGAATTAATTGTCAGGGGATGAATGGGAGTGACTACCGGAAAATAGGTGCTAAACTCAAGGTCTGCAAATTTAATTTTGCTGGTAATTGTTTCTTATGTGCTAATGTTATGCATAAAAATGTGATAAGGTATGAAAATTCTCTGAAATCCAAATGCAGGATCTAGTCCCTTGTGTGCTATTATCATTTGCATTTGAGCACATACTTATATGGAGAGGATGTGATTGGAAGTCTTCCCTTCCAAAACTAGTAAAGGATCGCGATGAAGCTAAGGAATCTGATGTTCAGATTGTAACTTCTGTTGCACCATCTGTGGAAGGAGAAGAAGTTGCAATGTCGACTGGCTCAGTTAATGATGCAAGTCTTGAACTGATCAGTACAACAAGCACATTGAACAGAAGCCATGAAGTTATTGGCACAGAGGGAAGAGAGGATTCATCTTCTGTGGAATATGTTGAGCCGTGTTCTACAACCGGTGATGTTTCAAACGAAATAAAGACATTTGCAACTGAAAAGATATCAGATGTACAAATCCCTGTAGATGATAGGTTAGGAGATACAAGTAATACCTCTTATAATGGAACTACCTCCGAAAATTCTGGCTCCAATGGAACCAGATCGGATAGTATAGAATGTGACGGACTATCAACAGCGATGTTGGGATTGGATACCATCATACCCAAAGTCGCTGACGGAAATGCTGAAATGAAGTCAGCTCTTTTTGAGGCAGATTCTTTAGCAAATGAGAAGGAGCAAGTTCCTTCAGAAGTTCTGCAAGATGTCAACCAGCCAACAAGGTTAAATGCACCTTGTACAGAGGGAGTACTCTCTCTCTTACAGCAAGCCGTTGTGGGTGGGCTTGCAATTATTTTAGATGAGGACAATTTGGATTCGGATGTTGTTTATCAAAGGACGGTTGCCTTTTCTCAGTCCGCTCCACCCGGGCCTGTTTTTAAGGGTAGGCCTAGGAAAATGCTGCCTAAGAAAGTAATGGTTAAAAATTCTGAGGTTCTGGAGAATGAGAAGCAAGATACCGAGGACTTCGCACCGAAAGAGATACGAACAATATATGTGAAAGAAGGAAGCGGGAAAAAGGCTTCTAAAGCTCGTAGGAGAAAAGATTTTGGTGAAAATCTAGATAATGTTGTTGTACCCCAGGGAAGCCTAAGAGTAGATGAACTAGCCAAGCTATTAGCATGATGTATACTATTTTCAGAAATGTACTTATTATTTACATTCATTCATTCTCTTATTTTATGTTTCCTTTCTCTTCATTTCACTATTTCTTAAATTTTGTTTATTGATGGGGCTTTCTTGGTCTTGGAAATAAATCAGTAATTCTCAAGCCAAGAGATTTGGGGTCTGATGCTTAGACAACAGCTGCACTTGCAGACTTTCTTAGTTCTCTAAAGAGGTCATGAAAAAGGTTAATAAAATGTCATCAGATAGAAACGTTTAGAAATGCGAACTGCCAAATTTATAAGTCGGATAATTGCGAATAAGATAATGAGAGAAAACACCAATGATCATAGCTCACTTGGAGTTTGACATACAACATTTCACCAACTGAATCATTTTGGAAGTTTGATAGAACCATGATTCAGAAGTAGCGACGAACCTTTGAAACAAACATCCTAGAAATCTTGTGAAAACCATACAGTACTTTCTTACTTGGCTTCTGTGTGAAAATGCAGAAAATCAAATTTGGTGGCTCGTCGAGGGAAAGTAGACATAAAAGTGGTAAGCTGCTCTCTGTTTAATATTCATAAATTGCATTTAGAAAACAAGTTATAAAACATCAATTTTGGACAATGTTCTTTTTCCTTTGGTAAACTAAACTCTTGATCCTGACTTCCCATCAACTTGCTCCCCATCGTTTACGTATCTTTTCCAGAATGGATGGTTTTGCCACAGAAGATAAATCTCTTCAATAGGAACTTGCTTTGTTTCTGGCAAGAGGAAGAAGATGAAGCTGCTCATAATGAATATTAAGCCAGCAAAGAGCAGGAAAATCCCGTATTGAAGATGGCAAAGTGATACTAGGAAACACTGAGCTATAAGAGCTGTGAAGAAGAGGTTAACGCAGACGACAACACTCTGTCCAGCTGATCTAGTTTCCAACGGGAAGAGCTCGCTGGGAACCAGCCACCCCAGAGGGCCCCATGACCTTCCATAAGCCAAAACAAATAGACAAATCACAATAACAAGCAAAATGCCAACTCCTTTTGGTAGGGTCTCTCCTTGTCCAAATTTTAGAGCAAGCGTTACGGCCACAACAATCTGCAAGGGGAAAAGGTAAGTGATTATTACGAAATGCAGTTTCTCAGATGAGAAAAAATTAGTACTTAAGAAGTGCATTTACCAAGCAGCAAATCATTTCAGCACCAGCTTCTAAGAAGAAAGCTCTTCTGCCAAACTTGTCAACAAAAGCCATTGAAATAAATGTGGCGGCCACAAGGGCTCCACTGGTGATTACAGACGAATACAGAGATGCCCCCGAACCGAAACCTAAGCTCTGGAATATGACAGGAGCATAGAAGAGAATGGAGTTCATGCCAGTGAGCTGTTGGAATGCGGGAATTCCCAGAGCCCCTAATACGAGCTGAGGACGGTTTCTTCTTTGTAAGAGATTCCTAAAAGGGTGCTTTATAGCCCGTGCTGCTTCACTCGCGTCGATGAGATCAGCAAACTCTGCATCAACTTTTGAGGTGCCTCTAACTTTCTTAAGTACTTCTTTTCCTTCTTCTAATCTGCCTTGCTCCACGAGACTGTTTGGAGTCTCGGGAAGGAACAGTCCCCCAATAAACATGAGAGTTGCTGGCACCGTGGCTAAACCGAGAGACAATCTCCAGCCCCATGGATGGATCTTTTCAGTTCCGTAGTTTATCAAGTTAGCTATTAGGATTCCTAGGCAGGTTGTCAACTGAAACAGCTGGTTGACTGCTCCTCGAATTTTCGCAGGAGCCATTTCTGAAAGGTATAAAGGAACTGCCTGTACAATTAGAACAAGAAAGCGTTTAGCGAACAAAGAAAACTGCCTGAAATTCAAATTGTTGCAAGAAAATGATTGGCTGCTTACTTGGTTGCCAAATCCAATGCCAATGCCGAGAAAGATTCGTCCCATGATCAGCATCGCAATGTTAACTGCAAACGCATTTAGAATTGCGCCTAAAAAGAAGGAGATCGATCCAACAATGATGCTGGCACGCCTGCCTTTGTTCCTGGTAACATAGGAAGCAGCAAATGTGGAAACAAGACCAGCAAAGTACAAGGATGACGTAAAGAGTGTGAGAATCTGGTTGTCATATTTGCAGTAATCAGTCTCTTTGAGGTGCTTCTGCTTCCTCCGATACACTTTGGGGAAGAATTCCTTCAAGAAATCATCCATGGAAGTTACCCCACCTAAATTTACCATAAATAGTAAAATTGTTACTTTTAGGCAGAAGTGATACACTAAAAAAATATTAAAATTGTTACTTTTACCTTTTTCTATTTGGTCCTTATTGGAATGGTTAAATTTGTTTTATCCAACTATGAAATGATTTCTACTTTTCAAGGCCATTTTTTTGGCAGTCATTATCAATATGTCTATTATTAGGTGAGGAATCAATGAAACTTTATTGTATTCAAGCTATTCCAGATCTTAAATTATCTGCTGTGTAATGAAAAAGGAGAATTTAGCTGCACCACAGGGAAATACAGATATCATGAATAAAATTAAGCCAAATATCTCCAATCTACTCCAAAACCAGATCAGAAAATTCCCAAGCAGACTGAAGAAAAGCAGACTAATTTTGTTCATTCCATTGCAATATCACTTTTCTGCCAGTAATTTTAGGCCCTATACAACCATTTAAAAGCGAATAAAAATATCTAAAAGGAATCTCAGATTATACTGACAGACACCTTTTGATAATACGACAAGGACATATTTTGCTTTTTTCCAATAATTGTTGTCATAAACAAAATAATTGCTTTATAAAAAAAATTAAAATAAAATTAAGATACAGCCAACAATAATAGATATAAAAGACGGCCAGGCTCTCAAGAAAAGTGAAGAAATTCTGAAAACTAGTAATCTTTGTCAGAAAACAATTAATCTTTCAACCCAGTTCAAAGAATTTGATGATGTTCATCAACGTAAAATACCCAGATGAAATAAAAGGCTAAAAGTGAAGAAAATCAATGAAAACTGACCTGAAACACCGAGATCATATCCAAACAGAGAACCTCCAAGAGCTGCAACAATGCAAGAAAATATGAAATACCCAGTAATCCTATACTCATAAAGATGAGCCCTGTCAGATGGCGCTCCACTCACAAATCCTCCACCTGCCATTTCTCAACAATCTCTCTCTTTCTCTGTGTTTCTCTCTCTAAAAGAATCTGTCACAACATTAGCACATAATGATGATTAAGAGCAGAGAAAATAACAGTGTGCGTAACAAGTGCACAACGTCTTAAAAGGAGGCAGGAGTCAAACTCGATGAGATCAGACTAAAAAACAAAGGCTTTTGTTTGAAAATTTAATCAATTGGTTATGTGCGTGTATAAATATAATACATAATTTTTCTGGTAGTTAAGAAATGGATACCCTCTCGGCATTTTAACGTGATTTTAATTAAAATTCAGCGTACTTCTATTTTGACGTGATTTTAATTAAAATTTAACGCAGAGAAATACGTAATTACTACTATAAAAAGCTCCATATAATGCATAATAATCTATAAAATGAATAGAAAACATATGAATATTACCTATATCTATGTAACACAATATTCTTTTATAGTATAGGTATACAAAGATACTTTTTAAGTACAGCTCTGTCTAATATTTTAATGTACTTTTAATCAAATTGAACCGACATATAGTCATCAAGTTTGAAAAGCTTTATATACTAATAACAATAATAATTATAATAACAATAATTTCTCTATAGACGACAAAATGATTAGAAAATATAAGAAAACGACCTGTGGAAAAAATTGATGAATAAAAAACTGTGAATCCGACTTCTGGGAATCTTGCTTTGAAGGTCTACTTGCAAAAGTCAGCAGTCATGCATTATTGTCCCACTTAACCTAAAATGTATCATGCAAATTGCAAATCCAATTCCCTTCAAGGAAAGAAATGAATATTGCGTGACTAGCCAATTAATAGGAGGGATCTTTTAATTTAATTGACAAATAAAGGCCGGGAGAAAATTAAAAAAAAAAAAAAAAGAAGAGGAAATAGAGGAGAGTAATTTCTGTGATTGATTAATGATAAGATAATGAAAAGATTATGCGATCAAAGTTGCTTGACAAGATGTTGAATAGGGGAAAAAATTTTCTAATTTGTAGGGAGAAAGGAAAAAACGGATTTTGAAATTTTAGTTATATTTCTTTTTTTTTTGGGGTGCAATAACAACTTGTTTCAACCGTACACCAGCTTGGATAGAGATAAGGTAGATTATCTTTGACCAAAACTCTTTGAATTTACTATTATAAAATACAAACAAGAAAGACTTTAAAACCATCAATCTTATCCAAATTTCATATATAATATATCTTGCCAAGTTGGCAAACTTTAAATACATTCGTATATTATAATAATAAAATCAAACCTTGCTTCAGTAAATTAAAAAAAAAAAAAA